AGATTCATATTATCAAAATTATCAACAACTTCATCCCAAGTCGCCTAAACTCAAGATCAAATATTATGTGACTTATGTGATTTGCAAAACATAAAAATAAGGTATTACTTTACTATTCATTAATTTGTCAATTGCATAAACAAGCGCTTCTCAATTATTCCTGAAATATATAGTAAAATATAAATTAGTGAATCATTTAATAATATCATTAAACTTCACAGTATGATGCTTGGCTGTTTTTGCTAAAGGGTATAAATAATTATCCCCGTGTACTGGAAAAATTCAAACATGGTTAAATTTTATGACAGTCTAATTTTTTTATTTATAAAATGCAAAACATTATAAATTATATAAGTATACAAACAAATATTAAATATAACATTGTGAAATAATAAGTATTTAATAGCAATAATATTAATAGTAATAAATTTAATTTATGTCCTTCAATTTTATTATAATTGTTTGATCTTTTAAATGGTAATGCAATATGATATTTTTATCTGGATAATCAAAAGCATCACTAAAAATATTAGGATCATCAACACTAATACACTGGAAATTGCATCTTGATAATTATTCATCAAGTCGCATGTATTTTCAGTAGTAACTGGGTGGGTTTCACTTATAACATTTACTGATTTTGAATCATTGTCTGAAATATCTGGAAGAGTAAGTTTAGTTATAGTAGTCCTTTTGTTTTCATTTTGCAATCTATAAAGTAATAGAGCAATGTAAAGCTATCTTCAACTTAGGTTCTATAATAAATATAAAAATATATTACAAATTTCGTAACTATTCTAAACATAGTGATGATCATCGCAGCAAATTCCTAATAGTAAATTTAGACCGCAGTTTTCAATTTTGAAAAACTTGAAAGCATGTGTAAATGTGCTACATCCAATTTTTAAAATCTCTCTTTCTCAAAAATGATACTATTAATTAGTATTATCATTCTATTATCACTATCACTATTTTCTGTTATAAATCCTACTATTGTCTACAAAATATTATATTATACTTTACATTTATTATATTTTCAATATAAAATTTTATTCAAAATAACGCCAAGCTACTTTTGTAAAAATAAAAAATTCAAGAAACCAACCAATTCTTCGCAAGTTCTAAATGATCTTAAAGATTTAGATAAAATACCAAAACACCTTGGTGTTATGTTTTGGGGAAATTTCAATAATAGTAACAATGTCAATAACATTGATAAGGAAATAAAAATGATTAAGGAAGCGGCAGAATTATGTTGTTGGTGTAAATGTGCTGGAATTAAGATATTGAGTATTTATGAGAGTGAAGGTATTTTAATTGTATTAAATTACATGGTTGATTGAATGATTGATTGAATTATTTGATTGATTGGTGATATTTATTAATTATTATTACCAATTACTTTCTTTATTTACTTCCAATTCTTCTTCTTCGATTCACCAACCACCTATTCGCTCGTCCATTTCTCTCTCTCTCTTTCTATTTTAAAAAAGGTCAATTAAAAAATTATGTTCAATTATTACAATCTTGTATTGATATAATTTCTCATGATTTTTTTATTAACAATAACAATAATATAATAATTCCTCCACCTGTTATAAGAGTATCATCATCATTATTAGGTGCATCACCACCACCACCACCACCACCACCATCATCATCATCGTTTGGGATGATGATATTCTTAAAATCAAATTTAGAAGTTGAGGAGGAAGAGGAGGAAGAGGGGGCGACAGTATCTCCTGGAATAGTTTTATTCGTTAGCAATAGGTCTGTGTTGGGAGGAGGCAGCCCGTAGGAGTGACCTCTAGTTGGTAGTGGTTGAGGGGTTATCATATCTGAACAATTAAACCCTGATTCAAAAGCGTCTCTATGGAAACATCTATATGCTAATATGTCGGAGGCGTTGTTTAAAATATAAACAATAGGAACTGATGGTATTTCAACTCTATCTTCACTAGGTGTTTGAGTGATCCAAGTATCAGTATCGGTGAAATCAATTGCCATTCCAATAGGGAGGGTGTCATTATCATCATCACCAAGAGGTAGTGATGCATCGGATCCTTCAGGCAAATACCAATACAACCATTCATTTGATTCATCGCATGTAATCACATGTACATTGATTGAATTAGCGTTTGCACAAATAACAAGATTCTTTGATCTAGGGCCCCTATAATATAAGTATATAAAGATAAAGATATAAAATGATAGGATATTATAACAACAAATCCGCGGTCACAATAATTTTTACCAATTTCTGATTGTTTCCATGTAAAGATTAGGGTTTCTCTCATCAGTACTATATGGACACAAATCTTTAATATGTTGATATACAGTTTTTTTCTTTGAATCGCAAAATACTATATAATTTTCAAGATCTGAATTTTCATCTTGTACCACTGGAAAATAAGCTACTATAAATGTTGGAGTGTCTAACCATAATATATTCTGAACTAGTTATATGTGTATATACGAATATGAATAGAAATGTTAATATTTAGATAATATTTAACTCCATCAATATTTTTTCTAATAGTTATAATAAAGAAAGTTTTCAAATATGGATGATATTAAAAAATTCACTTACCATAATATGAAGGTTGAATTAATTGCTTTGGTGGCTGTATTGAAGACTTCACTATTCCTTCAGGTAAATGTTGCATTAGTTTCCCAGTTTGTGTGCCACATACTAATTGTTTCCCTTTTGGAGACCAACAAACTTTAAAAAAAAAATAGTCAAAAGAAAGTATTTGTTAAATAATGATACTAAATGATATAGTTAATATTATAATAATAATAATGAATAATGGTAACTTACGAGCAGTAACTTGATCTCCTAATTTAATATTATCTATGATTCCAATTTGCTCATTTTTTAAATAATCATAAATATGCACAATACCAGATACAAGTAAAATAGCAACAATGTTGAATCTTTCTCCTAAATTTGGGCGAATATCTTTAATCTCATCCGAGAATTTCATTATTTGATATGGTTGAATAGAAGATTGCTAAATACCAATATCATTTATTATTTGCATCAATATATATTTTAATTAGAATAACCTTAAATTAACAATTACGCATATCATGTAAAGATTCATTTAAAAACAAATTGAAAAAAACTGACCTCCACTCCAATTTTTGTCACATCATAGTATAATACTATACCACCTTGTATAGCGACTATAATTGTTAGCTGATCAGAGGAAAGTCTTAAAGAAATCACACAACCTTCTAAAATATCAACATGAATCTTTTGATCAAAATTAATTTTTAATTCATCAGAAGTTTCAGAATTCACAAACTTCGCACGAAGGTCTTTTGTATACGCGTAAAAAAATCCTTTTTAATATGATGGAAAACAAGCCAAGGTTAATATATGAAGAAAGAAGAAAAGAAGTTCTTTTGTTATTATTTAAAAACCATTTTTAACCTTTATTTGATGCAGCAACAAAATATCCATAAAGATTAGAGACAACAAGTAAATTGGAATGTGATGGAGTTTTGGATAAATCGAAGACATTTTCAGATAAACGTACACTCGGAGTATTTTTACGTAATAGTTTAAATTCAAAAAACTAATAATATTACCAGAGTCAAAATTATAAATTTTGTGCTTTAAGAATTATTAACTAAAATTGCGAGTATATAAAAAAGTTTTTATGAACCTCTACATCTACTTGATTAACGTCGAATTCTTCAATTTCTTCGTCCATTTTTTCATAAAAAAAGTTAATAGTAAATATGGGATTTCCCAACTTAAAAAACGGCACGTGATTATAAAAATACTCTCGATATTATTATCACGTGGTGTTACGGACCAGTTTCCGGTTTTTGAGGTTCGCGGTTTACCGGAGACTTTTTTCTGGAACATGAATTGAACCACTAGAAAAACTGGAACCACTGAGAACAACCATAGATCACTGCAATAGATTTATTTTTTAATCATTCATTATTTTATTTATAAAAATTTTTCCGATATTATATTTATCTGAAAATAATGATATGAATTCATTTGGGAGTTTCAATCCAGATTTAAATGGGCATACTGCAACAAAACCAGGCAAAATGAATATCTAGGATTTAATATAACTGTGATAACATTTTTTAATTACAACTTTAATTTAAATAAATCAATTCATTTTATGGATTAAAATTGAACTAAATTCATATCAAGCAAAATTAAAAAGACCACATCACTTGTGAATGTTGAAGATGTATTAATATTTATACAACGAATTTTGGTAGCCTGTACCATGGATTTGTTGAAATGAGGTTTGACTGTACTATATAATCTTTGAAATCTGCAGGAACAAAAGTAGTACAATTTTCATGCAAAGGTGCTCAATTGGCTATTTTTGTGCCAAATTTCCTCCATTTTTTGATGATCAAAATATCAATTTAAAGCTCATTCGATAATTCTCTGTGCACGGTCCGAATGTTTTGTCACTGCTTCATCATGGTAAAAGAAAAGGAAGATCCAGGCAGTAGTGATGACAGTAGATATGGTTGTGGTAATGAAAAAAAAATTATTATTCTATATGGAACCAAATATTTTACCTTATCTGTTTGAAATTATGTTAAAATAGGAAAAAAAAACAAACATAATAACAACAATGATCATAATAACTATTCATAATGATAATCATAATTGATCTAATTATCAATTATTTAGTTATTTAGATATATTTATACAGGTATAATTAATTAATTTAACAAATTTACAATTATCAAATATTTTGGATCTTTTATTAATAGCTGATGAATTATTACTTGATGAATTAATTTATGTGATATTGTTAAAATCGAGTCTACTATATTGAAGATAAAATGTCAATTGTTTTTCAACTAGCCGTGAACCTTAAATCATGTGACAAGCTACAAAATCTAGAAATAGTTAATCACAATCTAATCCAGTACATTGAATCAGATGATTCGTTAATCCTTACTCCCGAATAAAGGAGAAAGTCCAGGATTAAATTGTTCTGGGCATGGATGCTTGGTTCTTTTCGACTTGAATTTCTTTAGCTCAGTTTCAGTGATGGTATCAAAGAATTTCCTTTAGGTTTTTTTGGCATTAGTATCCACGAAGGGCGGCGAATTCTGTTTTAAAAAATAAATAAAATACAATCAATTTAAAGTACTTTTATATATTTTTTGGTATCTTGTGTTTAAATTAGTGAGCAGTTTGAAGTTGAATTGTTTCGTAAATTTTTCTACATTTTATTTTTTTCTCATTAATTAATCTCTAAAATTTTAGAAGTAACTAGATTTAAACATGAGACGCGTTTCTTACTTATTATTATACCACAAAGATCAATTTTCGAGGCGAAGATTTTTAAAAAATTACGAAAAATTCTTTTTTATTTATATGTTGCGAGTAAAAATTTTTTTTTCACCATTAAATCAACACGGGGATATGTCACATGACTAGTATAGGTCTTGAGAAAATGGAATAAATTAAAGATGCACCAGAAATAGCAATTGCAGTTACTGAATGAGGATCGGTATCCATTAGTCATTCCAACAGTGCGATATATTCTCTCATCTTACCATACCACCACCTCTATGATCATGACTTTTTATATGAGAATTAAATCTGTCCCAATTAACATAACTGGCAAGATAAATTATGTAAAACAGAAACACTATATAAGTGTTTTTAATAATTTTTCAAAAAATGCGACGATGATGATGGGTGCCTGCTTATCTATATATTTCTATATCTCGTTAAACACTTAAAATTATATATTATAGTTAATATGTAACAATGCTGTTCAAAATTTGTTTGAAAATCACAATTCATTGACACTTTTTAAACATATTCATATATACTGTATATATAAAATAATATTATTAAAATAAATATCTCTTCCCCTACGAATTTATATATAATTATTTTTCCAATAAATTAAATAAATGAATGGAATAATAAAAAATGGACATCACTATAAAATTTTTATAGAAATAATCTAATATCACTAAAAAATTTTTGCAGTGTGGAAGACACCTATAATAATCATTATTAATAATAGTAAAAAATGAAATATAAATTCAACCCTTTTCAAAGTGATAATTTTTTGAACAAGTAGCTTAGGCTTAGGCTTAGGAATATAGGAAATAGAAAATACAATCATTTGAATTTTGTAAAATGTAAAAAGAAAGATATAATAAATTTATAAAATTTACTTTTCAAAAAGATAATTTTACATCTCTCTTGAAAATTTGTGATAATTCGTTATTTAATAATTCATCCAAGGTTGAATTTTCATGATGATAAATCCACTTTTCATCTTTGAAATCATAATCATAACGTTTTGGCCCACTGAATTTTCCAATTGCACAAAGATACTAATTTAGAATATGAAAAAATTTTTATAGAAAAAAATTGATATTTATTTTAAATCTAAACCAACCTAACTGGTGATGACAACCAGATTTGTTTATTAGGAGGTTGTTTATTTATAACATATGTGCCTGTTGAGCCGCACTTTAATGTTAACACACCGCTCTGAATAGAATAGAAGAGAATAGAATTGGATTGAAATTGAATTGGATTGGATTTAATCATTGAAAAAGCAATAATTTTAGACTTACAGAATATTCAACGTCATAATCATTGATATTTATTTCTTCTCCTAGACTTTCCAAATTTTCATATAATTTTTCCATGGTCTCTTCTGATAGTTGATGATATTCATCTTGAGACAGATTACTTTTCATTACAAATTGGGAGGGTTTAATTATTCTATTTTTATTATTTAGATTATTTGCATTAAAGAATATTCTTTTATAAATCAGTGGAAATTTTCCTATATTCATCATGATAAATAATCAAATTGCTGCGCCAGATATCCAATTTCCAATTAAAAATTAAATAATTGATTTTTAATAAATAAAAAAAAAATACATTAAAAATGTAAAATATAATTAGAAAATATATATCTATTATACTTCAAGAGTTTTTTAACTTATTGAATAATCGTTATCGGAAACTATTAATAATTTGCCATTATTTCCTGCTATCCATATTTGCATATCATTATTACTTAATTTAAGACAATTTGCAATTAATGGAACTGTGAATTCATGATGCAACTCTAGGCTTTAAATATTTATATATAAAATTATTTATCAACCGATCAATTGACTAAATATAAAAAAGATTTAGTTAAATAGGTTATTTTTTTAAAAAAAACCAACCTTAAAACATCATATATTCTAATAAAACTTTTTTCATCTTCTCCATCTTCTCCATCGGTTGTTGTAACTATTGAATTACTTTCAGTTGAAGAAATCATATGTTCTATTTTAGCAGAAAGTTCCATTGAATTTAAAAGTTTTCCATTGATACTATAAGTATGAAGAAAATATTCATTCTAAAAAAAATATTTAAATTTAGTTAGTAGTATCATAAAATAAACAAAACAAATACACATATATATCAAACACTCACTTTATATTCTGTATATATGACTATGTTAGCATCTTTGGTTATGCATACATATTCAACAGATGATTCCTCATCTTCAAATGGACATAATGTTCGTATGTAATTTGCATTTCTTAATGAATGAATGATACATGTTCCATCCTTTTTTTTTAAAAAAAAAGAATCAAAGTTTAAATCTAAATCTAATTGCTGGAAGATAAGACAAACGATTCATAAATACAACTATTAAAGTAATATTAACTTTTGATCCACTTATCAATATGTCATGTTCTGCATTAACAACAATACAGGTAATCTAAAAACAAAATCAATAAATTTGATTAATATAATTGAAAATATCAAGAATTCCATTTCACCGCATTATATTAAATTTATTAATTTAAATGTACCTCGTCATCATGGCCATAATATGAATGCATGGGTGTATGTTCAATATTTAAAAATTCAAAATCATCAGTCATATTGATCTTCCAAGATAACAAATCAGGAGACCTTGAACCTGTAACAACAATTCTTCCATCTTCACTGATCCCTACAGTTGTTACAGTATGTACAAAGTGGTTAAGAAATAATATTTTGGATTTTTAATTTAATTCTTGATTATTATACTAATTATAATAGCGGCATAACAACAACGACAATAAAGGATATCATTATGTCCTGATATGCTGTCGTTAATCTTTCCTGTCTCTGTCAATGTAACTTTTATTGAATTATCCCAATGTCCACAACTTATAAGAACTTTCCCATCTTTACTACACGCAAAACTTCTTGGTGTAATTTTTACATCAAAAGAAAATGGACTACCCAATTGACTAAAGATTGCAAAAAATAAATTTTTTAAAAAAATTATCTTTCCAAATTTATATGGATATTTACTACTAACCTTTTATACTGTAAGCCAGGATCTACTTCAAATCTTTTTATTTCTGGAGCTGTTGGTTCAGGCAAAAGATTATGTTTACCAACTAATCCATTTTCATCAACAGTGATAATTTGTTGCAAATCAATTGCAGAAAAGTTTATAGAGTCAGGCAATGGCAAATCAACAAAAACTAATTGATTAGATTTCAATGAGAAATATTTCTGACAATCCAAGGAATTCAACAATTTTTTTTTCAAAATTTTTTTACTAGGAAGTCGTTTGGGATGTGGTTCTTTGAGAAGTTGAGTGGGTGTCTGACCAAAATGGTAAATTTGTTGTTCAATACTTTTTCTTTCAATCGGATCTTGAATACTTTCAATGTTAATAGCACCTTCATATGTTAAATAATAAAACACATTATATGCTTTAACAGCTTCTTCTCCAGTTTGTTTATATCCAAAAATCAAATCTATATTTTTATTAATTTGATTGATTAATACTGATAATAATAATCTTAATGTTTTCTAAAAAAATAAACAATCAATTACTTTACCTATCCAATGATGTAAATTTTTTGATACATAGTCAGACTCTAATGCTTCTCGATGCTTACGAATAAAATCTTCAGGGGATTTTGCCCATTTTGGCAATTTAACATCATCTACAGATACACCATCTTGTCGAACTCCAAGATCAAATTTATTATGATTTACCAAAAATTCTGGAAGATAGAAAAATTCTGGAATCAATTCTCTGACATCACCACTAGAATTTAAACAAGCTTTCCAAGCTCCTTGGATAGAATGGAATTGTCTATCAGCATGATCAAATTTTCCTCCTTGTAATGAAATATTTATAGATGTGAATGGTTCTAAACGAATTAGATAACAGGCCACTGTTGCTGCACTTGAATAATGTGTTCCATAATGAAATTGCTTTATACGTCCAGAAGGATCATAAAAGGACTCATACCGCTCAACAAATTGTTCCAGTCTTGTGGGGTTAACAGCTCCTATTGGTTTAGACAAGTCTCTATAAATTTTGGGGTCAGACAAATCTAATGTATCTGACTCATAATCACACAAAATCCATGGAAATACAAAATACTGTGACAAATCATTGTAAGACCTTCCGGCAAAACTATTCAGATGCATCAAATATTCAAAATTGGAAATTTCATGCCTTTGCCAACGTCCTGTCAAATTTGACCTTGAAAACATCATGATAGGATCGTGAGTATCTTGATTGATCATTGAGGGTGGATGAAATGATATTATTTTTGAATGAAGGGTTTTTCTATCTTTTGGATTTGAGAAATTAAAAAAATAGTTGGTTTGATCTGTAAGAAACAATTCGAGAGCACTATTTCTCAAAAGGTATTTTCTCATATGAATCTCTCGTATATCTGAAATAGGCCATTTCTTGTCTAGTAGCATCTCACTATCTAGAATGATAGAGCCTTGTTCAATATTGTTGAGTTGTTCCAACAAATCTTGATGATCCAATATGAATGATAAATGAGTAGTAGTAAGTTCTAAATGACCTTTGATGGCAGATAACTGTATTATTAGTTCACAATCTGCTTTAAATATAAATTTGTCAGATGATAGGTCAAAAACATCAACAACATCATCACCCACGACAATATTCCATTCTTGATCCTCTGATTCTTCTGTGATATCAGATTCAGAGATTAAAGAAGTTATATTAAAAGCCCAATTACCATCTGTTAATGGTTCAATTGAATTCAAAAATGGTGGTGGATTATATCCAAATTTATTATCATTAGATGATAATGATGCCCTTCTTAATCTTTGAATATTTTTGATTTTATTTTGAGATGCTGATGAATTATTATTGTTGCTGTTTAATTTATGCATTTTATTTCTTTTTGCACTTGCTTCAAGATGCGGATCATAATCATAATTGGTTGTAAGCTTTCGCCTCATTCTTGAGTAATTTTCTTTTCTGTCAAGTTTCCAATGGATATCAGCAGCAGCTTTATTCCCTCCTATTGACCAGACACCACGCTCTTGAGTCAACTCATGAAACTTGGATAACCATCTTCTTGAAGTCCTGATATAATCATTTTTCTTTTCAATTTCAAGACTATTTAGATGAGAAATTTCTTCATCTTGATAAGATTTGATGATCAGATTTAAATTTTTGTCAAAAATCTCCTCCAGCTTAAGTGTTACTGATTCTTCTTTTCTCAAGCGATGTAGGAACATATCTAATTTTTTCGAAAAATGTGCTAACATACGTTTTACCATTGAAAATTCAACACAAACTGCATGTCTCCTAGCTTGGACTGCATACTTATCAAGTATTACCATCCAATTAAGCGATTCAACAAATTTTGTAAAGATAGGAATATTTAATTTTGATCCTGACCATATGGATTCAAAAACTTCATCAAAAATCGGATTATCACCACCATTAAGAAGAGTTAGATAATTGCGGCATTTGTATATAGCAAAATAATATAATACCATTGTTTTATAATCATAATCACCATTTGTCATCTTTGATGCACTATTAATATATATTAGATTGTTTATATTATTATTATCATTATTTAGATTATTGTTATTTTATAAAAAAAATTTTTTTTTAAATACAAACTTAAATGCATCATGAATTTCACCCAAAAGTAAGAAAATAAGTTGTTGAAAAATATCACTATCATGACAATAAAATCCTCCCAAAATTTTTTTGTCTGTTGTTGTTGTGACATCATCATTAACACCACCAGTAGTAGAAATTGAATCAGGTAGTAATCTTACATGTCTTTCAAGAAATTCCACTAATTGATCGATACATTTTTCACGTAATTCTTGATCTGAGATTGTAATACCAGCAATTAAAATTCTCATTACCATTCTACATAAATCACCAGGTTGCTTTATAAATTTAATTTTTTAATTAAATAATAATAATAACAATCATAAATAATACAAAAAAATTTTTAAATTTTTTACCATTGTTCCATTTTTATTACTTGGTAAATCCATTCTCCAATTTCCAGCTGTATCTAGCATATCAACAACATCAAAATACAATTGAGCTAAAGTCTTATTATCTTCCCATGGATTACTTGGACTTTGAAAGATCATATCATCATGTTTCTGTGAAGTAAATGTAGATTCTAATTTTTGTATTAGTGGATTTTAAAAATTTATTAAAAACTGGTAAACTGATTACTTAAAAAATTCAAAAGTTTTAAGATATTGTGCATATATATAAATATATATATATATATATCAATAAATAAATTTTTACCATATATAGATTTAAGTGAAGAAGAATAACTTCCTGATGGAGAATTATCACT